AGACCTGTATTTTTTAATTTTCTATGATCCCAAAGATAATACCAAATAAACAAGCATCTTTCTTCCAAATCTCAAAGCTTAAAGTATTTTTTTACAGGCACAACAGATGATAAAGTTTAATTTGATTGATCTCTGAGAATTTGGCCTCTCAGTGAGGGAGTTAGCCTTGCAGAACTTCTGAGAGAGTGCTAAGGTGGGGATCAAGACCGGTCCACATGATAAATCAGTGGCAGCTACTTGATTTGGACTCCCTTATGATACCCAACCATGGCAGAGGAATAAGTGGTGCTTCCTCAGCCAAGATGAGTGAGAAAAGGAATAGGGCTGACTGCCAAGGCTATGACACATCTCACTGCCACCAGCATTAGATTTTATTCAGGAATGACAATCAAACGTGTAACTGGGATGGCACGAGACCAACGTAATCAGAATGGTAGCTGGGATAGATTGTAAGGATTTCTCCCCCAGTTTTCCATTCCCTGGTTAGTTGATCAAACACTTATCTAGGTACTGCTGTGAAAGTTATTAAGTTTGCTAATCAGCTGACCTTAAGATAGGGATAGTCCCTTGGATTATCCAGGTGGGCCCAATGCAATCACACAAGCATAAAAAGCAAAACAGGAAGATAGAAGACGCAGTACGAAAGATGCAGCAGAGATGGAGGTCAGACAGATTTCAAGCATGAGGAAGATTCAACACACAATTGCTGGTTCTGTGATGTATGGACCCATGTGGAGCTAAGGGTAGGCCCTAAGCTGACAGCCAAGAAGGAAATGAGGACCACGCTCGATAACAACAATGAAAGGGATTCTGCCAACAACCCGAATGAGTTTGGAAGTGGGTTCGTTCCAGAGCTTCCAGTTAAGAGCCCTAGATTCAGCCTTTGAGACCCAGATCAGAGAACCCAGTGAAGCCAACTACAGAACTGTGAAATGACAAAATTGTGTTATTTTAAGCTATTAAATTTGTGGTAATTTGTTACAGCAGCAATAAAAATCTAATATAAATGCCCATCCTATCAGTAGAACTTGCACACAGACTACACACAGTAACTGCTAACTACCACCCCTGGCTATGCCATGTAATGTTTTACCTGAAACTAGTGTTGCTGCCTATCTAACTACTGAAATACAAAATGTTTGTTGCTGCATATTTCCTCCTACATTCTATTTACAGTCAAATAATGCATAAATTAAATACCTGAATATTCATTATCCACGTACACTAGTCCCATTTGTACAGGTATTTAGTGGCAAGGGCCAATAGTACTGATACCTGTAATAGTAATGATTTCATACCTAGGATTACCTGTAATAGTAATGATTTCATACCTAGGATTCTAATCCATTTAAAACATTCTAGAGGCTCACAGGTTTCATGTAGGAGACTGCTCACAGCATTTTATATAACAATAAAGGATAAATAAAATACATCATGGCACAATTATTACATGAAATATTACGTAACCCTTGAATAGATTTTTGAAGGAAATGATCTCCAGTTGCTAAATGAAAGCAGGATACTAAATTGTATCAACTATCTGAGTCTAATTTTATTAAAATTACAAGTACACTTGCACACACAATGAAGACTGGAAAGAAATACATTATATTATAGTGGTCATTAATGTGTGGTAGGTTATTAGTAATTTTTACATATTTTATCAAATTTTTATATATTATTACTTTGCAATTTGATTTTTTTTAAAAAACACTGAATATTAATCTGTAGAATTAGTTTGCTACTTATACATATGGCACTAATTCTATATACTACTTTGCCAAATTGACGTTTTAGCACATTGGTTCCCTCATCTTCAAAAATAAATTGACCCAAAGAACCTAACATCTCTTTGAACACAAAAATTCTAAGAATATCTAAGTATAGAAATGCCACGAAAACCCTAGGTTTATAATGTATAGCCCTAGAATCATCACTTGGTCTTCGGCATTTTGCTATTTTTCTCCTTCATGTCATCGTTGCCAAAGGTCCTTTATGAGCACTTTTTGAACTCTGAACATGAATCATCTCTTAAACCACAATAAATGATCTTCTTATCATCCTATCACTACATGAGTTTTGAAGACAATTAAGAAAGTACAGACAAGAGCACAAACTATTGGGAAGTTGCTATCTTAATTTTTCTTTATATTTTTTAAGTAATATTCTTACATGAATGACAACTACATAGAAGTATTTGTGATTTTCCTTTTCAAAATATTTATGCTCTTATCATTGCCTTATATTAACATTATGCATACCAAAATAAGGTTTGCATATATGTTTGTTTGTAAGAGTTTTTAATTGAATTCATTATTTTAAAAATTATCAAATCTATTTTGTATCATTAAAATTATATTTCAGCCATCTAGTTTAAAACTTAATAAACTCTATGCATATCTGTTTTCATTTTTTAAAAATCCTGTCTTTCATATATTTCATTCTATATGTAGGAGTATAAATAAAATTTCAGGTGGAAGCAAACTTGGTACAATTCTTTTGGAAAGCATTTTAGCAAGATACACAAAGAGAATTAAAATGATTAAGCAATCTGACCTCAAAATCCACCTGGAAATTTATCCTTATGAAATGATTCAAAAGAAATAAAAGATCAATGATGGATATTTACTTCCATTTAAAAAACTTTTATTCAATTATGAGCTTAAAAAATCTATTAGCATTCATCCTGAATTGTTTGAATTTCTCATCTACACAACCCAGATTAAACCTAATTTCTTAATGTACTAATTTGCATTAACCCTCTAAGCCTAAAGAATGCATTAGAAATTCGGTACCCAGTGAAGGAATGGTTTGGAATCTATTTACCAGACTAATAAGTGCAAATAACATTCCTTGAAATATCACTATATTTAAGTTATTACAAATGGCTATGAAACTTTTTTCTTCACTATTATCTCTTCACAAATGAATATAAAACCATATAAATAAATGCAATTCCTGTTCTGGTATGAATTTAAATGATATTACTTTGCAAACGAATTCAGTTCACCATCTGAGTTTGCAAATATGTGCTGTCAATACCAAGCAGTTTCTTTCTTGTACCACAAAACAAAACAAACAAAATAAAACAAAACAAACATAACAACATCATTATTGGAAAGATCAAGACTAAAGTTTTCTTTTTTAAAAAATGTAGATAAAATGTTGAATTACTAAACTGGTGAAAGAAGAGCTAACATTTAACAGAACCATGATTAGTTGTTGCCGTATGTTGTGGTTTGTTTTCAATGTTGATTCCACTGGTAACTTGATTGTAGGTGATACAAACAAGCAAAGACGTGATCAGAGGAGAAAGCAAGAAAAGGGCAAACATGATAAAGTGTAATTAAGTAACTGAAATTTTTATCTGTTGACCTTATATAATATACTATCTATACTGAACTCAGATTGACATATGACATTCTTAATATAATGACTTATTGAGGAGATGAAAGCATTATTGACCTGCTATGGGGTTTTGTTTGTAATGAGTTACTTTGTTTTGTTTAAATTTGGCATTCATAAAGGAGTATGACACTCAAACTCACCCTCTGACTCAGTAACCAGATATTTGTACTTCATAAGCAAGAACGCTTATAATCTGCATATGAATTCCTCAGTTAACAGGGTTTCAAATTGTTCTTAGAGTTTTATTAAAGTGTCTCTTCTCTTGTTTTCACTTGTGATACATCCAAGAAAGTTAATGTTTTCAGTTAACAAAGGGTTAGTCCAATGAACTTGATCCCCTTTAGGGTTTTTCATTACATCTTCATGGTTAGTAATCTTACAATTGCTTATAATTACTTTTAAGTAAGCTTAATTAGCAGTCATTTTATTTACTTTAAAAAAAATCCTAAAGTCGTCTATATTTCATTGCCTTCCTTTTTATTCCGTAAACCATTGAAATATGGTTTCCATTCCCACAATTCCAATAAAACTGTCCTTGCTAAGACTGGTAATGGCCTTTATACTTGTTAGACCATCTGGAAACTGTTAAATCTTTAACTGACAGCCAGGACAAATGTATATTAAAATATCTCTTGTGCTCAGATTCCTTGGATTTTTTTTTAACCTAATAATTATCTCTTTAGATGGTTATTTGATATTGGCTAAATAAGTAGAAAATTTAGGCCCCAGATCTGACTATTTTGTTTTGCTGGTTTGGATTTGGGGTAAGTGAAAATTGTTTGACTTGTGCAAAGTGAAGAATCAAAACAGATAAGCTCATCAGATGGTGATTGATAAAGCTATAGCTACAACTTTAAACCTCAGGAAAAGATTCAGCCCTGCACCTCCTTGCAGGACAACCTGGTGCAGCAGCCTGGCCACTCCCACCCTGTTCACTGAAACACAGCTCTCTATCTCTGTCTCTGTCTAAAAAAAAAGGGAATTAGTACATTACAGGGACCTGAAACTGTAGAGCGAAATCTTACTTTCTTTCCACTCTGCTCATATCTACCTACTAAGGTTCCGATTGTGGATAAGATCGTGGGATATATTTTCTGTTTAGTAACTTCCCTTCCTTTCTAGAACTGGGGAAGTGGAGGGCACGATAAATTAGGCATTGCGTTTAACCAGAAGGTCTCTTTTTCTTGTCATCAGGTGCAAAAACAGGACATGATCTTATGACCTAAGTGCAAGACTCAGCCACCGCAACGACAATTTCTCTTATTTCTTGCAGTTGTGACACCATTAAAAGTTTCCCATTAAAATTTAAATTTAAATTTTTTTAAATTTAATAATGACACCATTAAATTTTCCTCATTAAAAGTCCCTTCCTCTGGGCTTCCCTGGTGGCGCAGTGGTTGAGAGTCCGCCTGCCGATGCAGGGGACACGGGTTCGTGCCCTGGTCCGGGAAGATCCCACATGCCGCGGTGCGGCTGGGCCCATGAGCTCTGCAACAGAAGGGGTCACAACAGTGAGAGGCCCGCGTACCGCCAAAAAAAAAAAAAAAAAAAAGTCTCTTCCTCCTTAGTTTCAGGAACATTACACTTCTGCTTTACATTGCGCTCTTTGTCCTTCCTCCCTTTCAGTTTCTTTAAGGGAAGGATACAGTACCCACACTCATTAAATACCAGTGTCTCATTTCCATCCTTGACCCATTCCTCATGCTGCAAACTCAGTGGTGTGGGTGTTTCTATAACATCAATTACTGTGCATATTTCAAGTTCTCTCAACAGGTAGGGAGGAATGTCTTAACTATCTACCTTAACTACCTACCCATTGTCTCTACTTTGACGTCCCACAGCCATCTCACACTCAACAAATCTAGCTAAACTCTACTCCTATTCTCATTCTCTGATGTCTATACGTATGCACTAGCATCTATCCAATTGTTCAAAATGGAGACATTCCCCATTCCCCCAAAGGCAACGGGAAATAATCCCCTTCCCTTTCTCTCCCCAAAATCTGTAGTCACCAAGCAGCACCTGTCCTTTTATTTTTTTTTTTCCCATCCTTGGAATTCATCTCCTCCTTTCCAACTTCACTAAACACCATCTCACTATTTTTTTCAGGATAGTATCTTTGTCACTAAGATGATCTCCTTTCTTCTCCTACTCTACAAATCATTCTTCTCCCTGTCACAATTCAGTCTTTCTAAAACAAGAGCCTAATAGTGTCTTTTTCATACTTAAAATTATATCATACTTCAATCCAGTCTCCAAGATCAAACCCAATCTCTTCCGCACAGTGTATGAACTTTTACTTATGCTTCCTGCCCAACCTTTCCAGAATTGATTAGTTTGGCTGATGATAGCTCCTATAACAAATTTTAATGGCTTTTATTAATACAACTTTATTTTTCTTTCCCATAACTATCAAGGTGAGAATTTCTAGTCTCTGGGCAGCTTTCGTTCACACAGTGTTTCAGGGCCACGAAAGCCTCTGTTTTGTAGTTCTGTCATCCCTTAGGGTCTCAGCGTCTTCTGCAACAAGCCAATGGGAAGGAAACAGTACGGTGAAGGCTCACCTAGTGCTTAAGATTCTTAGTTTGGAAATAATACCTTGGTTTCTTCTCACACTCTGTTGGCTGAAATTCAGTCATATGGCCAAATAGTAGCTGGCCACTTGTCAGCAGTAGTTCTATACCAAGGAAGAAGGAACACAAATTTTGGCGAACAGTTCATTTTCTCTGCGTCAACATCAAAAGTCTCCTTCCGTTCCCTATCTTGCTCCCTGTTGCATGGCAGCCATACTTAACCCTCATACTCCTGAAATACACTATGGCATCCCTTGGCATATGTTGCTGCCTTCTGCTCATGGCTATCTTCTATTCACCCTTAAAAATGCAGCTGAGAAATCTTTTTGTGTAGAAAGCCATTACAGAACTCTTATTTCTGGATTAATAGCCTCCCTATGTGTTCTATATTTTTTTGTTGCAATAGGTGCTTGGAAAATCTTGATAGACTCAGTTATGTACATTTTAAGTTCAAAAATGTTCATCTCTCTTCTCAGTGGGACCTAAAAAATATGAGTGTTGAAAATGAAACCTGACTCATTTGGAGTGATTCTTATTACAAATTTATGAAAATATTTTTGGTAAAGTAAAAGGATTTATGATTTTATAAATAGCTGTTATCATACAACTGGTAATATACAATTTGTCAAACAGGAGCTTTTTGTGTGTTTTTCATCTTAAGTGAAAACCTGTAGAAGATGGTTATAAAAATCTTTTGCTTAATAACACTCACTTCCTTATTTTTCTGAAGAGACACCAGACAGCATCTCTCAGCTTCCTTTGCAGTTAGGTGTGGCCATACATTTGCGTTCTGACCAAGGAAATGTGGACAGAAATGATTTGTCTCAATTTCAGATCTGGCCCATATAAACCTCTCATATGCAACCAACTTCTTTCCCCTGCAGACTTAGTGTCAAAGCCCAGAAAAATCTCGAAAGCCATATGTTAAAGATGTCAGTGTTTCCATGAGCCTGGGTCCTTGAGTGATGCTGTAAAGCAGAGCCCCCGGCCTACCAAAAGGGAACACTTCCATTTGGCTGTTATGTCGTGAAAAAAAAAAAAACAAAACAACTTTTATTATGTTATGTCATTGAAGTTTTGAAGTTGATAATGGCACCAGCATTATGCCAAATTATACAGCCCAGTGTTGATGACTACAGAATTCATGTTTGGTGATCTCCTGGAAAATTAAAAATCTTTGCTAACATTAATATTTCAAAATAGATAAATTTGCCTGACCAATGGTGAGCCTGAGGCACTCAGATGTCAGGACCTTCTGCTGCTTCCCTATTGTACCAATTTCACCTTGGGGCTGCGGGACTCTCTTGGAGCTATCGGCTACAGCAGTTGGCCTAAACAAGAAAACAAAGAGCAAAAAAGAGGATTTTGGAAAGAATATATTAAGATTCTCGGTGGTACAATGCTAAGATTATTTAAAAAATAACTTTAAACAGCTTAAACAAAAAGAAAGAATCATGAAGAGCTATAACCATGGTGTAAAATTATAAAGACATAAACCCCACCATGCAGAAAAGGACAGCAGTACAGAATCCTGTTTATTTTTAGTATGCAATCAGATGAAAAACAAAAATAAATACTCTTGGTGAGTCCATAACCACAGCCAGCTTACACATAACAAGTCATCTGGAACTATGTAAGTCAGGGTCAGTGCTGTGGCTCAAAGGGGTCATTATGCTCCTGAGATCGTTCCACAATTCCTATATGTATGTGTGTGTGCATGTGTGTGTATGTAAGTGTGTATACATGTATGTGTGTAGGTATGTACATTTGTATGTGTGTATATACAGAAATATATATATATATATATATATATATATATACACACACACATATATAAAATTAGGCAGGAATGCTTTTCTCAAAGTCCTCAAGAAGATTTTTCCTCAGCCAAATCTGAGAAATATGCCCATGTGTGCACCAATCACAGGCAAAGGAGACAGGCCGGTGTCAATACAATTGTCTACCAATGAAAATTCATACTTCGGGTTAGGACACTTGTTTTATGAACACATTGCTCCCCAATACGTAACCAAAATAGGATTCCCTTACCAAGTGGTTCTCAAAGTGAAGTCCATGGACCAACATTATCAGCACCACATGTGAACTTATCAGAAAAGCACATTCTCAGGCTCCATCCCAAACCTACTGATTCAGAAAAATTGAAGATAGGGCTTCACAAATTGAGTTTTAACAAGAATTTCTGGTGCTTCTGATGCACATTAAAATTTGAGACCCACTACTTTACCATATAAAAGCAGATACTGAGTTTGGGGTAGGCAACTAATTGTTTATGCTATGCCTAGACATTTTCTAATTAAAGATATTTTCTAATTAAAAGTACTTTTCTTTAGAGATCATAACAAAATGAAAGCAAATACAGTTAAAACAAAACGAACAAAAAACCAAAGATATAAAAAGCACAAGAAGAACAAGAAAATGTTAATTACAGAGGGGAATAAAATCTTAACATGTTTGAGAAAATGGAAAGAGGCAGATGTGGTAACTATTTTATAACAGGAAGTTACAACGTGTGTATAGACAGATGTAAGAATAAAGAGATCCAACTTACTACCACAGAATCCCAGAGAGACTGAGGACTTAGTGACTTCAAGTAAAAGGGAGAATAAAGTTGAAAATTAAAGATCAAAATGAGAAATGCTTGAAAGTCTATATTCACAGGTCTATTCACCAACCCTCATTCACTATCGCCATGGAGAGAATGTGGCAATGGTATATACCACCCTAAGCAAGGTGTAGGAGCTTTCTTCTGTTTAAAAGATAACAGAAACTTCTAGAGATTCAAAAACAATATTCATGGAGAAGGAGAGGTTAAAAAAAAACATTGAAAATGTAAGGTACTGGATCTCTACAGTTTTCCTATTCCTTCTGCAGCAGATATCAGCAGTCAGAAAGCTAAACGGCAAGGTACATATCACTTCTTTTCTCCATATCCAGCTTTGTTTGGAAGATCGTGTGTTACTTTGGTAAATAAAAATTTTACTAGAAAAACAACAACAATGAATCCTTCAGGTCAACAAATATTTTCTTACTGCGCCAGTTTGCCAGTAGGGGCGCTGGAAATAGTAAACATTCTAAACACATCTGGTTGATTGGACTCTCCAAAGGAGTTAACATCATTTAGCGGAAAGAGAGAGACAGAGAGAGAGCGAGAGAGAAACAGAAAAGACACCATAAAGAAAAACAAGTTTGACTCTCCCTCATTTGTACCCTGTACCGCTTCCTGCTTCCTGGCGAGGCCACCCCGGGGGCGGCCACTCCCCTGTTAATGACCAAGTTCCAGCTGGTTTCGACCTCCCAGTCCCTCGCGGCCCTGAACCTCAGAACCAACGTTTTTGGAGCCTCTCCAGGGGTCAGAAAGGGAGCTGACAATCTCTCCGCGCTGCACTGGGGCGGCGGTCCCGCCTCCTGGTCTCAAGCCTCCCGCAGCTACGCGGAAGCGCCAGTCCGGGGACGAGGGCGGGAAGCCCTTTTGGAACTCACGATCTAGGAAACGAAACCAGAGGCCACGGGTTTCGTCACCGTCACCACGGTCTCTTTCCTGGTAACTTAAGGGAAGGTTGTGTAAGGAGCACTCTTGACTGCGAAGGGTCGGAAGCCGAGCACCGGCTCCGCGCCCGGGTTCCCCGAGCTCGTCTCGCCGCAGGCAGCGCCGGAGCTGCGGCGGCCACAGGTTGGTGGGCGGCGTGCTCGGTCTCCTCCCGCGGGTGCCGGGCGCGGGGCTGGCGCGGGTTCCCAGGCCGGCGGGGGGCACTGGGGGCTGCTTGGGAGCGAGGGGCGCGAGGGCCGGCGGGTTACGTTTGCGCTGAGGTTGGGGGCGGGGGGCTCGGGCCCCAGCGGCCTCGGGAAGCGACCGCAGAAGCCGACCAGGGGCTCAGCAGGGAGCCCGGCTGACCTAGTCCTATCCCGGCCTGTCCCAGGACCTTTCCAAGGCCAAGGTGTTTTTTGCCTGAAACCGCCTTGTACGTTCGAATGCGCTTAGTCCATCTCTTAATAGCGCGGAACTGCGCTGGCTCATGGCCAGAACCTGGGCTCAGCGGTATCTGCGAGCATTTAGGGGTATTCAGAGGGACGATTAATAGATCCTGCTAGCTGTCGTTGAACAGTCAGTATTAATGAGGAGTGTGGCTGCGGCCAAAACTATACTAGGCACCCTGGGACAGCAGACGAATTGGGAAGACAGGCGGTTTATCACATAGAGGCTAAAGCCAGTAGCTCAGGTAACCACCTGCCTGACTTGAACCTGCCTCTACTACTTAATATCTGTGGATTCCCAGACAGTTTCTTCCTACATGTTCCTTCCTTGGCTCATCTCTGAAACTGGGTAACGATCAAAAGTTACAAGAGTTAGAGTGTGACGTATAACTTTGGCACTGCAGAGTGTACTCAGTAAACATTAGATTTATTACTTTAAATACTTGAGCAAGTCCTTGATCCTCCAAGCTCACTGTCTGGTTCCCATGTGGTTTTATTTAGACAGCTATTTCAGCAAATCCTGGAATGGCCACTTCCCAGTTCCGGGAACAGGCAGTCAGTGTTTCTCCTAGTTGAGCAATTTGAGATACATGGTTAGTGCAAGTGTCACTTGCTTAGTGTGAAGTATCAGGAGATTCAGGGTCCCCTTGTTCTTCCTGGAGCTTTCTTAACAATGGAACTTTCTCTTAATACCACCCTGGCGAGTATGACAATTGTAGGGCTTTGAACACTGAACAAACACAAGGAAATGAAAAATAAATGAAAAGGGAAGTGAGTGGGTTTCTGCAGTTGGATAGAAGTGTCACATGAAACAGCTGAGTCACAGATTAGCCAGCCTTCACATCTGTAAGGTAACTGTCCTTTCTGACTGAAGGGAGTGAAATAATACTGTACACAACTATTGAATCAGCAAGCACCAATTAAGCGTCTTGTCCTGACAGGCCATGCTCTGGCCTTTGAGAGCTTAGACAGGAAACCTGTAAGAACTGTTCCCTGTTCACCTCTCCATCCTCTGGTCCAGTGATCTCTCTCCTTCTATGCTCTGTGACCCACAGATCTTTATTCCCTTGAATGAGCCAAGCTCCCTCCCTCCAGCCTCAGGACTGCTACCTATGCAGTTCCCCCTGCCTCTAATGCCTCACCCCATCCAAATACACACCTCCATAGCCTAGTTGATTTTAAACTGCCTTTGGCTCTCAGATGTGACTTTCTGACAACCCCACTACACTATCTAAATTAGTGCCTCCATAACTCTTTTTATAGAACCATTATTTTTATTCATAGCGCTAGTATTTGTAATAATATATTGTTAATTGTCTGCCATTTTGTTCTAGTGATTGTTATAGTGCCTTACATGCTCTGTGCCTTCAAGCAATATTCCTTGGAAAGAGGCACAAACTTTACAGTGAGTGACTATTTACAGACATATTTATATGTGTATATGTGCATTTATATATGTGTACATGAGTGTGTATACTCTACTGCATTTTCTGTAATAGTGCTAAATTTTAAAAAACCAAAGCATTGTAGTTAAGCAGTGCTAACTATTGTGCTTTCCATTTTTCAAATTTTGAAAATACTAAGTACTTACAAAAAACTCTTGCCTGGCCTAGTAAAAAAAACAAATAGGCAGCAGTAAATTTGAAATTCCTGCTCTCTGCCTTACATAAGAAAAACACCATAGTCTCTTAACAAATTTCACTGAAAATTGGCAATTTGGGATAATGTCTTGTTTTTTTGTTGTTGTTTTTTTTCCAGTGAATCAAGGACATGACTGCAAAGGAAATGAATCGTGAATCATTCCTATGAGCTAGTTACTGAGCTGTAAGCTGTATGACATTAAGTAACCATTAACCTCTCTGGCCTTAGTTTCCTCATTTTTAAGGAGGAAAGGAAACAACACAAATTTGTGAGGGAGCTCTCAGTTGTCAGGAAAGGCTCTTCAGGAGTAATAAAGCAACCAAACTAGGATAGCTGACATAAAGATTAGTTTATGTGTCTTTGGTCTCTTTGGTTTAGTTGCTAGTTTTGTACAACACTTGACTACCTCTCTCTCAGTTGGTCCCAGCTGATGAAATGTCTGCGTTGTTCTTCAAGGTTTACTATGAAATGCTATCCCAATGTGGTTCTGAGCATATTTGTTTTGATTTCTTGAATCTAAAATACAGAAGTGGTATTTTATAGGCAGAGTCTCTCTTATCAGGTTCCTTGCACTGATGATGGCCTCAGCCACCCCACTTCGGTCCCCTGTCTTGGACATACGTGTACTGGTATACTCAAATCCTCACCAACATCTTAGCCACCTGTTTGTGTGAACCCATCTGTTTTTGCTCTGCTTGTGTTTTACCAAAACCACAGTTCAACAGATGAAGTGCTTTTGACCTTAGGTGTTAACCTTTCTAAATGCATAAAATTTACCTACAAACATAAGCTGAACAACATGGAAATTGCTTGATTTGTGACTTACCTCAGCAAGGGTTGGGTTCTCCGCTAGCTCTAATTCCTCCCCTCCCCCTAGTCTAGTATCTCATTTTCATTTATTCATAGGAAGTTAGGGATATAGAATTCTGGGATTGTGTTTAGAGCAGTAAAGTTTTGTTAAAATAATTAAGAACACATATCTCCATCTTGGGACTCTGAGAAAAATGTCAACTGGCTTGGTTTTTGGCAGTTAAGTAAAATTGGATAAGTAACCCAAATCTAGTTTATGCCTAGTTCATAGGCTTAGTAGTTTCAGGATCTTTCAGAATTAGGGATGTTTCCCCTTTGGGTTGCAGGTTATACTTTAATATTTTTGACGAAATAAGATAGAAATTTCAGGACCCCAAGAGATGGGTCAAAGGGTTTCCTGTAATATGAATTGTGGAGCCACAACTGGATATCACGTGCACTATTTCCCCTTCTCCTGGGTGGTAGAGGTTTATGATTATCTAGTATCCCATAGCACCAATAGAATAGGTCTTAATGGTGTCTGATAGAATAAATTTAACAGATACATGCTTATATGTATAGTATATGATGCCTTAATTTCCTCAGAAGCTCTCATTTAACAAGTTAGGATAAGTGTGTAGTAATCAGATTATAATTTGGAATTCTGTATTTGTCCTGAAGTAATTATGATTCCAGTGGTACATTGTATAATATGACTTCATAGAGTTCTTTTTCTTTTAGTACAGGATAAATATGATTTTCTTGCAAGTCTTGCTGTGATTTGTTTTGTTACTAGGAGTAGTGGAAGACATTATTTAAAAGTTATAATATTAAATTAATTAACTAATAAATTAATTCATCCAGGACACACAGCCCGATCATTCCCAAAACTGAGTGATGTTATGTCTTGTAATAGAACCATCAAGTTTGAGAAAACCAGAACATCCTTAAAACAGCAAAGGAGAGTAGACAGGGATGAACATGGGGGATGTCTTTAGTCCACAAGTGCGTTATTCTGCCTGTGGCACACATACAGGTTCAACTGTCACTTCACATTTTGCACCAGAGCTTATGATGTAACATTTTTCATGCTTGAGATATTAGGAACTTGTGAAAATTCTAAAAACTACAGGAAAATGAGGACCCAGATTATACTGCAGTAGTTTTGCCAACAGGTACTCATCCTCACAAAACTATAGTTTAAGACTCAAAATATTGTGACCAAGTAGGAAGGAAAGAGTAAATATGAACAAATGAGCTCTGTTTGAGTCTGTTTCACTTCCTTTCCTTTGATTTCTGTGCAAGGAGAGAATTATCTCTGGCTTCATGAAAAGTAAATACTCATATTCATAGTTGGTACTCATTCTGCAAGGACTTGGGTACTTATTGCTCCATTGCTTAAGAGCCTCCACCAGTTCCTAATGTGATGCATAGCACTCGTGTATGAATTCCCTCTCTTTCTAGCACATTCTTTATTTCTGACTGGCACTGAATTTCCCAGGCTCAAACAACTAAATGCTAAGAAGAAACATATTTTAAATTAAAACTAAATTTTTTTTTCCTCTCAGATGTATAGACTTGCCCTCCAGAAACTATGGAATTTTTTTTTTGCCAATTCAGTGATTTGTTCACAAAAATAAATTGTTTAATTCTAAAAATTAGACCTCCAGGTATTATTTAGGGTTTTTCCTTGAACTGAGTGCCCTTCTGACATTTTAGGCAAGGCAGGAATGACTGAAACAGTAGTCCCTTAAAATTGCTAAGTTGATTGAAGGGCCATATAACTTTTTTTCTAAAAAACTAATCATATTATGAAGTGATCCTGTGAGAAACAGTAGTTAAGTAAAATCTTGACCTGTTTAGTCCAGTTTGTTAACTAAGGGATACTATGCATTTCTACTCCAGAAATGGAGTAGT